AGTTTTCCCACACTCCTGACATTCACAGGGCTTCTCTCCAGTGTGAGTTCTCTGATGTGTAGTTAAGTCTGACTTACCGGAAAACGTTTTCCCACTCTCCTGACATTCATAGGGCTTCACTTCTCTGTGAGTTTTCTTGTGACTATGAAGGCCTGACTTACCATGGAAAGCCGTCCCACACTCTTGACATTCATAGGGCTTCTCTCCAGTATGACGTTTCTGGTGTTTTTTGAGGCTTGACTTAAAGGAATAAGTTTTCCCACACTCCTGACACTCATAAGGCTTCTCTCCAGTATGAGTTCTCCTATGTCCAGTGAGGTAGGACTTACTGGAAAAACTTTTCCCACACTCTTGACACTCATAGGGCTTCGATCCAGTGTGACATTTCCCTTCAGTGTGATTTCTCTGATGTACAATATTGGATAGCTTCCAAGAAGACATTTTGGTACAGCCTTGATATTCATATGGTTTCTCTGTCAAGTTTGACTGGTGACGGTAAGTGAGGGCTGATTTTCTGGGAAAAGTTTTTGAATACATTTCATATTCATAGGCTTTCTTTCCTGCATCGGCCTTCTCATGGTTACCAAGGTCAGGCTTGTGGTACAAAGACTTTCTACAACGTTGACATTCATCTGGTTTCTCTCCTGTGTGAGTCTTCTGATGTTTACTGAGGGCTGGTTTACAGGAGAAAGTTTTCCTACACTCTAAACATTCAAAGCGTTTCTCCTTTGGATCCCTTCTCTGAGGAACACTAACAGCTGACTTCTCTGAGAAAGTTTTCTTAATTTGCTTACATTTATAATGCTTCACTCCCATTTGAGATTGCGGATGTGCAGTGACGGCAGTCTTCCCTGAGAAAGTTTTCACACAGTGTTTAGAGCCAAACAGTTTCTTTGTAGTACGGGTTCCCTGATATTGACTCTGGAAGGAAGGCTCAGGGGTTTCTGCACATTTAAAAGGTCCATCATCTGCTTGCATTTTCCGATGTTCAGGAAGAACAGAGCTTGTACAGCACGTGTCACCGTGCCTATTACACTCCTGAGGAGTCTGTCCTAACTGAGCACTCTCCTGCTGATGGGTGTGAAGTGTGTGGCTGAGAGGGGGCCCCCTTTCACAACCTGTCTGCTGCTCACCTTCAACATACCAGTGACGGCGCAAATGTCCTGGTTTCGCATTAACAGGCTCCCCTCTTTCTTTACATAGACGGGGAGTCTGTCCTCCTTGGGTTCTACCTTGGATGACGAAAGGACGCCCGCCACAGGTGTCCCAACACGCCTCGTGTTTACAGGCAGTCCCTTCTGTAAGCGCTCCTCTCTGTGGAAATATTGTTTCCTTGTTCAAGGCATTCTCTTGCTCACAAACTTCAAAAGGCTGTGGGAAATTCTGAGTCACCTCCTCACTGAGGTGTTTAGAAGACCTGATAGATTCCCTTATTCTATGACAGGTCTCCTCTGCCCTTCCAGGATGCTCTTCATGAGGCTCATCAGGGGGGAACATGTTTTGAAGGATAGCAGAGACCTCAGGCATCACTGCTGAAATGATTCCGTTTTTGACACTATGGCTCAAACTACAAACTGCGTCCAAATTACTTTTATTCCCTATGTCATCTGTTCCGTCGTTGGTGGGTATTATGCTGTCGGCAGTATGAACTTGCCATAAATGTCTGGCGTTGTTTGGGGAGCTGGCCTTGGTCCGGCAATCCACAGGATGGACATCTAGAAAGAGAAAAAAAAAAAGGCCATTAGTATAAATAACACAACACAAATCCAACAAATGCTACTAATAGCCATAACAGTTTCCTAACTACAATACAATCTGACAGGTATTCATATTCTTATGTTTAAAAGAAGATTTATGTATGCCTCCTGGGGTACAGGAGGCCATGGGTATGGGCGTTGAGAGGATTCCCCAGAGTGGGGAGCTGAAGGTGCAGATCAACTGAAATACACTGCTGAGGGGAGCAGTGGACAAGAAATGTCTGCCACGTCATGTAGGTCACCTCCCTGGCCAGGGTTTGAACTCATGGTGCTCAGGTTGCCAACAGCTTCACAGTGCTGTGCTTTAACGCCTTGCACCATCAGGGAGGATTCCAGGTATTGATTTTCTAATCATGCTTTTTACCCCTAACAAAGTATGAAAAAAACACATACTCCTTTATTGTACTGATATAGAATAGCTTGGGTTTAGGCCAGATGTGCAAGCATGGTGTGTGTGTGACAGAGAGAGGGAGATACAGAGCAGAGAGTGTGGGGAAAATAACAGGCGGAGTGACTGAAATACAATACTGAGGAGAGCAGCAGGCTAGACAGAAGAGGTCTTCTGTGCATATTGGTCAGATCTGGCCGTGAATATAAACCAGGCTGTATCAGTGAGAGCACTGAGACATAAACCCTAGGCTTCCAGCGAGACTCTAATTTGCCTATTGCAAAACAGGATAACAAGGAAATAGAAAAACTTACTTCATAATGTTTTTATAAAAGAATAAATGTTTGGTAAATACACTCATTTAAACTAATGTTGACTTAAACCAGGAACATTTAACCTAACAGACAGTCTATATACCTTCATTCTTAGGATGACCCTGTGCAACTTTTGCTGTTACTTTCTGAAATTCAAGCTCTGCACATGCCATGGTTTTCCCGGAAAACCTACTGATGAAATCACTCTCCAGTCTCCTTAAGAAAGAACTGCTTAGGCCCTCCCAGGCAGTGCAGCAGGTTAAGGTGCAGCAATGTAATTCTAGCGGAGGACGCTTGGGTGCAAGTTCGAACCCTGCCCTGGAGATGATCCACATGACACAGCAGATCTCTCTTGTCTTGCCTGTTCCTCTCAGCAGTGTATTTCAATTAATCTGCCTATTCTGCTCTCAACTCTGTCTGGTGAATGCTGTCACTGGCCCTGACCTCTGCCCTGTACCCCAGTTTTGTATGCATCTTTTAAAAGCCTGAATGGGTACCTGACAGAATACAGTCTGAGAGATTAATTCATACAGAAAATGGGGCTAATGCAGAATAGCTCCCTGCAGTATCAGGGACTGAACACTGGGTCGATCTGAGAAGACTGGCAGCCAATGGAAGAGTAGCAGGACATCTACAAGAGGAATATTTTGGCTCAATCACTTTGACAGATGCAGAAAAACAGTCCAATTCTGGACAGTGGAAAAGTGTGGCTCGGCGTGGCCAACATCACGGGCCACACTAGAGGCCAGGCAAGCACTGACTGACCTGAGAGGTCCTGCCTGGGGGGTTCTTCCGCAGTCCCTGGCTGTGCTCCCGGCTCCAAGCTGATGCTCGCCTCAGGATCCTTAACACCATGCCCTGTGGTGAGAAAAAGTGTTGGTCCTTGATCGAGTTTCTTAAACTTCAGTCTGGAAAACTAACAAAAGCAGTGCAGTGGAGGCTAATTGGAATCTTTCATGAAAGGGGCAGACACCCACAGTCTGCTCGGCCTGCCATGTTCCAGCTCCCAGGTACCCAATTTCATACACCAGTGTACACCTGTCAGAATACAATACAGCGCCTGCACTGAGTGTGACATGGGAGTTTCCTCACCTACTGACAACAGGTGGCTGCAGGTCTCCAGCATCACATCGCAGAACAGGGTCCTCTGAGCATCACTGAGGTCCCGCCACTCCTCCCAGGTGAAGTTCACAGACACGTCCTCAAATATCACCATACCCTGTGAAAAAATATTTCTCCTCATTCCTGGGCCAACAGCCTGGGTCAGACAGCAGCAAATGTGAACGCACCTATTTTGGGGTTCTTTGCTCTTGTATAGGATGCACCTCTTTTTACTCCATATTGTGATTGAACAGAATTCTTGTGATGTGAACAGAATTCTCAGGAGAAATAACTCTGACTCTAGATTAACCCCATCTCTCCTAAAAGCTTACCTTATAAGTTTGAAAATGTTTGGCACCCCTGGCGGCACAGTGGATTAAAGTGCAGTGCTACGAAACTCCCCGTAGCCAATGCAGGAAGTGTTTGATTCCTGGCCAAGGAGACGACCCACATGCCATGGCAGACCTCTCCTGGCCCACAAGCTGCTCCCCTCAGCAATGTATTTCAGTCAGGCTGCCTCTTCCGCTCCTCATGAGGTATAAGGTAAATGTTCTCACCCCCCGCCGCAAACTCTGGCCTTTACCACAGACCTTGTATGGGCAAACAAACAAATCATTAAAAAAAAAATTGGAAGTATCTTTGATGTTAAGCATAAAGACATCAATAAAACTGGCTTCTTGAAGAGCTTCTAACATGAGTGGCAGGTACAACAGACATATACCTGGAATAATGTGCTCAAGGAGCTGGGTCAACGCACGCTGAATACAGACATGGGAACAAGAGAGGAGAAACCAAGAGTTTATACTGTCGGGTTACACTTCACTGAAGACCCAAACACTGAGCTCTTCCTGTAAAACACTGTCAGCAGGATGGGACGCAGCAGATGTCACCGTGTGAGAACATGAACAGCACGTGGCGTGTCCACAGCACAGCAGAGAGCACGCTGCCAGGCAGGGTCTGGACACTGAGGTGAGAACCAGTAAGCAGCCTCCGGGACTGAGTGGGTCAGCTTCCGCGAACTGTGGGATACGGGAGCTGGATTCGCCAGCCTAGAAGGTTATGGAATTATACTACTCGTAATAGATTAAAAGTCTGTGTAAACTTGTGCCAGTATTTTATTCCTGTGACCTCCAAGCTGGTATCTCCAACTCAGAGGAAACAAAACCTAGACTCCCCAACCAGGACGTTCAAACAACGAGAGGGAAATAAACAGCAAGAAGTGATGTTCATCTGATAAGAGTGGTGAGAACAGACGACTGGACATCACTTCTAAAACAGAAGAAAAAAAGGCAGGAGAACTTGTTAATAAATTGGTGGCGGAAGGTGGACATGTTGGGGGAACAAATGCCCTGAAGGAACCCCACAAGCTGTATGGGCCCCATCCCACCCCAGACCGAAGCCCTCAAGACAGGGAAACGCAAGCCCGTCATCACCAAAGGGACGACGCTGGGACTGAAGGTGGAGCTGGGCAGCAGGTTTGGTGTAAACCAGACGCAAGGGCCATGGGGGCCTCTTGGTGTCTGACTGTGGGCTTGCTGCTCTCACTCCTCTTGGCTCTAGGCCTTCGGCGGCTCTCAGTGCACCACTGTGCTCCCAGGAGGGAGAAGCTGACAGTCGCATTTCCAGGGTCTCACGCCCCCACCCTGCTGAAATATCCGTTTCCTCATTTCCTGCTTTTGTAATAAGCAAACACTTGTTGACATGCTGTGTGCGCCTGCAGCTGAATATTATTCTAAGTCACTGTAAGCGCCCGGGTGAGGACCCATAAGCAGACAGCCCATTTGGATCGGGGTTGTCTTGTAACAGAAAGAACATTTTCCTAATAGAGCGCCTGCGTGACCAGCTGCTAGAGATGCGTAACCACACTCAAATGGACGCGTGTTATATGGACCAGGACTCTTAGCTGAGGATAGAAATTGGGACCCCAGAGTACCTTAGCGAAAACGGACTATCTCCTAGAAGAACCACCTGCAAATACAAGGGGTGCCCCTGGACATAAGGCACATACATGGGTGTACAATGTACATGTGTGTCTGTGTGGGACACTTGGGGAAGGGAAAACAACAGCCCTTGCTGTGGTGTCTTCCTGTGAAGAGACACATATATGGTCGATACATAGCACTTTGTGT